AATATACTTTTAATCTTTATTTAACGACATTAAACTACATCGCCGTATGACGACAACCTGCTCACCACTCATTGCGCGCGTCTAGCAGCGATTGGCGGCAATCGACGGTTGATGTGTCTCTATCAACCAATCTTTAAGCAGCGCCTGAACATTATCTAAAAGAAGATGATGATCCTTCAATATTATCCATCTCGGATAATGTTGGTAGAGCATTGTCGAGCTACACAATTTCCATACTAACACCGTTTGGTATCAATATGATGTAACGGGGTAGCCGATTACATGACGATCGTCATCACGACGTTGCAAAACATCACCGCATTCTACAGATGTCTAATGCGCAGTAGCAGGCGCAGGGGATGAGTCAAAATCCTTTTTTTTAACTGACGAGGCTCTTGTAGTTATCATGAGCCTAAATACCCGCTCGATTCCAAATAGTAGGCTCGTATTCGGTTGCGCTTTGAGACTCTGGCGACCTAAGTTTCTCCTTCTAGTCCGACCCTCCATCTGACTATCTTAAATAGATGAGCTTCATTTGGATGTCATTATCATTAGCATGCAGTGACTTACCACGTGCCTCTGGAGCATCTAGTGTTTCAATAAAGTTTCACAAGCAGCATTCGAAGCATCTTATGCCACGAAAGTCTGGCATCGTTATAAGCACTAAGCTAACACGCGCAATTTTATACTCAGCATCCTTCGCCGCGCGTTAAATGGGTTTGCTCACCATGCGAAGAAAATCCAAAAATTTATGTATCGGACCAAACAAATGCTCACCATCCCTGATACGGTCTTTTAGTGACCACATCAACATGATAGTGAACAATTGTCTATAGTTAGGGGGTGATCTAATTGGGTGAGCCTGTTAAATGTAATGAACCCTTGATACTCTTCAATTCGAATGGCTATCGTAGAATTTAATTCCGTGAATAACACCATCAAGAGTGATATTCAAAAACACTCACAGATGGGCTGATATTAGTCATTCTATCAGCCACCTCTAGCGGATCAATCAGCTCTAGTTTCGTGTAAAGTGGTGAGCAAGAATCTAGCATAATATTCATTTCAAACATAGTTTAATTATGACTAAAAACATAGGCTAATGATAAAGACATTGCTTTTTATATACTATTGTAATTCTAGCAGCGAGTGGGTAATTTACAGAGATAGCGAGGCACCACATTCATCTATGTCGGTGAAAATGTTTTCAAATTGGCTTTCATTTTGTTTTGTGCTCTAAGCCTCGGCACATTACATTTTTTATTTCTAAAGCACAAGGACTAAATTTACCTTTATTAAGTCTATGACGCCTGCGAACGCAAGCGAAAATCCAAGCATTGACATTCTTTGTTTTAACTAACAATCAAAGGAGCCTTGTACCGGCTAATGTCTTCGTTTGCTTCCACCTTGGTCTTGTAGACGCACTTCTGTAAAGGACATGCGCAATCTTAAAAAAAGGACCACCATCTACACGTCATTTAACGTTAAAATGTTGAGCTCTTCACTTATTGCAGTCAGCTATTTTTCTTGGTGGTCACTTTAAAACCCTTCAAGTTGTGTTTTAAGTCTTGAACCATTACAGCACAAATTACAATTTGTAGCTCATGAAACCTTCATTCGAATACTTTTGGACGGTTACTTGCTAATTGATCGTTAACTACGTCGTTGTCTAGTCCAACCGGGCCTTCCACCTTGACGGCCCTTGGTGACCCTTTTCTTTGCACTCAGTAACTTTTAAAAGGGGGCTAAATATCATTATGTGACTCCCCTGACGCTTGGCATTCTTCAGGTAGCATTTGAGCTTTTCCTTCTGCTCTTCCGTAAGTGTTTTTACGTTCTGTACATGTCGTGTTTCCACAACCAACTTTCCCTAAGAAATATGCACCTTGTGCCCCTTCGTCTTTAAATTTAGGCACTGATTTTGGCCACCTTCCACGCGCTTTGAGTGACTATTTTTAGTGCATCGACCTTAAGTGTGAACGATGAGTCGAACACAGCGACTTCGCTCAGCATAAGTACCTTATTTCTTGTCAGAACTTCATTAATGATATGCTATCAAGGTACGACTTGGTTAAACTTTTGTTGAGGATGTAAGTTGCGTATTCAGCAGCATCTTCCCAAAAACAATGCGATGATTTTAAGCAAAAGCCCATGCTTCGTATTATATTTATGATAGTACGATAAATTAGCTCAGTATTAACATTGCTGGATTGGTTCCCGGATTCGCTTACTTGTTTAAGAAGGCTAGTCTTCTCTCGAAAATTACGATGATGCCTTGCTTTCACCAACTCCTTTCGTCCGAAGCTCGTAGATCCCGCATTCAATCTTTTTATAGCTTTGCAGAAAGCGCTTGAACTTGATCGCAGCAGCATCCTTCGTCTTTGTCAAAAAACACAACAATAGCTTGACCGGTGATTATAAGCAATTTGACCAGGTAAAATCGCCCAGACTATTCCGTGGGGTCATCAGGCCTTTGAGTTTGGAGCAAATCACTCCATTAATCACGTTGATAGGCGATCGCAGCCCTTTCAGCCTTTGACTGTGCTCTTTAACCTTTTCCTTAAGCTCAATCCAAGCAAATCACGCGTTTTGTGTTAGCAAGCTTGACATCCTACGCCGAATCTTCTTCGTCGTGATAAACTTAACACAACATAGATGGCCTTGTCGGCAATCAAAGTGCAACGAGATACCATTATAAACATCCAAATCGGATTCATATTCATGTGAATTGATTTCAGTCATCATCGCTTATCGTTATACGCTTGAGGTTTTGGTATCACCAACCGCCTCCTTGACAGCATATTGTAGTTGCAGTCATTATCCATGACCGGTGAACCTCCGATTCCTGAGCTCAACACACACCTCCATTCATAATATTCCAATACGCACCCTTTAGCCGACCTAATTTTCACAAATATATACTACTCAATGTGACGGGGTAGCCCGCTACATGATATTGATACCAAAACGTGGTCAAAAGGAATATTGACTAGCATGACAATGCTCTACCAACATTATCCGAGATGGATAATATTGAAGGATCATCATCTTCTTTTAGATAATGTTCAGGCGCTGCTTAAAGATTGGTTGATAGAGACACATCAACCATCGATTACCACCAATCGCTGCTAGACACGCGCAATGAGTGGTGAGCTGGTTGTCGTCATACGGCGATGTAGTTTAATGTCGTTAAATAAAGATTAAAAGTATATTGATAGCTTACTTTTATTAAAGTCAGTTCAATTTTTACGTTTACTTGTACGAGTCGTTCAAGTAAATAAGCTTCCTCTGCATGTACTAGTGTACGTGAAGTTTATCGGCACCCCAAACAAAGAGTCTCGATGTTTGCGGCATGTTGAACGTCGACAGCTGATTGGTTTGTATAACGCTTGATTCAAAATTTGCAATGTTGACGCCGCCTTACTTGGTCTTACGCAAAACACCTTCAACGGTTGCCTCAGTCAATAATTAGCGGTGAAAGTCCACAGATAATAACGGCAGACTTTTGTCTTTGACGAACTGTCTAGCTGAACCTACTCTCCTGAGGCCAATAGCTATCCTGATTTATACATTTTTACCTACCGCGAATGCAAAGATCTCCCTGTAAGTCTGATCTTAGTGAGCTCACCTTGATCAGATGTGCCTTTGTTCGCTGCACTTGTAACGCGTGCCTCGTCACATTTCCTGAAGATAGCATTTGTTTTGGCCTTAACTGTTTCCTTTGGGTGGCTACTTGTTTAAATAGCATTGACCACATCCCGCTCCAGATTTTTTCGTGAATGTCAAACCCCGTTGACTGTGCGAACTGCACCATCTCTTCATCCTGACAAAAAAGGAAATCGCGATGCATTATAATCCTAGACAACAAGGTCTTACGCACATGCGATTCCATTTAGTGACTAGTACTATGAACACTAGGCTGTCTGCACCTCAGGCGTAGTGATCATGGTCGTCAGGTACAAACTGCTCCGTCTAAATTCTGTGACCTGCCTTTGGCGCCGTGATCAACTTTTTGCTCCGGGCAATTGGGACTCAAATGTTAAATGTCTAAAGCAATCTTGGTGCAGCATGCTTCAAGGTTTGGTTTTTCGACCACCAAAGAATCAACTATTGACGGTAACACGTCCGTGCTCTGACGATCAGATGTTTTACCAGAACATTACCCTTGATTTCCTTCGGCCACGCAAAGTTGCACACACGCTCCGCAAACCTGACTTGACGAAAGAGTAACTTCTCCATTAAAAAAGTAGCTACCAAATCCATAGAAGGGTTCCTTTCCGTCATAGGGATGTAACGGGAAACTTCGATGATGCGCGTCCGGCGTGCCCGCAGCCTGCGGTCCATGATGACCATAAACCTTATCCGGCGCCGCGCCGAAATAGAGGCCCGCGGGTAAATTCTTTCTGATATGTGTTACACCAGCAATATGCACAGAGTGTAACGGGGCACCCTGAAGCTTGTACTGATGACAGCACAAGCTACTTATTCTGATGACAGAATAAGGCGGTGCCTCGTAGCTTCACGTACACTCGTACGTGCAGAGGAAGACGGTAAGAAGAAGCGAGTACTTGGTTAAAGTAAAAAGTAGAACTGCATTTATAATAGTTACTGTCTGTTAATAAATCACTTTTATCTTCATCTAACTATGTCTAAATACAAATGTGAAAAATAAGTTATCTGCTCACCACTCATTGCGTGCGTCTATCGTGGCGCGTCTTCGTTGGTTGATAGAATGGCCTATATCAACCAATTAGGAACTACTCGTAAGTGCTACAGAATATTTGTTCTTATGACAATGTTTTGAGAATATAACTCTTATAGTTATATTCTATTAACAATTTCTTATAAATTGTTAGGTAACGATTCACCCCGTTACATCACCCCCCCCCTTAACCATCAGTCACTTTAGTGACTGATTGAATAAATGGATACTCGTCCCAAATCATTTGGGACAGGGTTTGCACTTGTTGGTCCTAGTCCACTTTCCAACATCTCATCGCATGGTTGACAAGCCCAGGCGATGCGCGATCAAGGCCGCCGAGAGCGCGTCCGCACGTCTCTGTGCAGACGCCGAAGCAGAAACCACAGCAACTGATGTCTCATCGGTTGCCGAAGCGACCCAGCCTGTGTCACTTGGTGATGCAGGCGCGGGTCATGAAGACACTCATGTCTTCACAGAGTTTGAGCTCGGTGTCTCATACTCTCCTGATACGGAAGACGGATCCGTATCGACGGCGATCGAATTCAAGCCGCCTGCCAAGCGTGGCATGGATTATGCTATGCGTCGCAGCATCTTTGGTTCATCTGATGAATCAGATGAACCATCGCCGAAGCGAAGGCGCTCGAGGTCGCGAGACTCGGGCGCTAACAGTTGTGTCGGCTCTCCGATTGACACCACTTCGCAACGATGTGCCAGTCCTTCTGTCGGCACGTCGCAAAAAGAGCAGGACCGCAGTGTGCTGCGTCTCGATCCCAAGAAGAGGGCATGGATGCCTCCTAATCCGTCATGGAACACTTGTCGGCGACGACGAGTGATCGTTATCGAACACGGTTGTTTGATTCATCAAGGATCCATCACCTTGACCCCAGTGCGAAAGACTATCGCACTGAACATGAGTACTTCGTTGTTGCTTTCCTTAAGCATCGATAGTATAGTAAGAATCACAAACGTGATGGTCCCTCACTGCTTCAAGCGTGGAACGCCTACATCCGTAACCTTGAGGATGTAGGTCGTGACGTTTGGAACGACAAACTTAGCAAAGCTCGTGGCAAGTTTGAAAAGCGACCCGACAGGTGCACGCTATAAGCTGCATCGTCTGTCTAGGAAGACAGGGTTACCCTGCCTCTCCTGGGGAGGCACGTGCCCATGTTGTGTGAACAACTCTGCACGAGCACCTAAGGAGGCTTATCTCCCTAAAATCCCGTGGTGGCGCGTACGTGTCTCTAGTGAGATTTACGAAGGGATTGACAACCTGAAATCCCTTTGTAACCGTGCCGGGAAGACTTTCTCCGGCAGTCCTTCTGTGGCACAGGATGTGCCGCGCTGTACTGCTCAACCAAACCCAGTACGTCAACTATCAGTTGGGAGCGGGGCTCCCAAGTATCCCAGGACGGGGGATAGCCGCGCCACTGGACGAGGTAACTCTTCCGGCGTCCGTTCACATCGCGGTGGTTCAACGGCTGCTCTACTAGATAGCGCTGGCCCCCGCGAGAGTCCTCCAATGGAGGTGAAGTAGGGGGGAAGACGCTCTCCACACAATCGTGGGGAAGCGTGTGTCCCCGAGAGCTTCTTTGATCGCGTAACGCTTGCGTTGCACGGCGACCTCGAGCATGAGCGGGACAGGCGTCTTCAACTGGCGGACACTGTCTTGAAGCATCGACATGAGTTCGCCTTTGCTCAGCTTGAGAACGAGAGAGCTTTGACATTTTTGGTTGACGATCTAAGGGTAGCTCGTGTGGAAATCGACCGGTCTAGAGCTGAGATAACTGCTCTTGTGACCCTTGTCGATGCCCACCATCGGGAGCACAAGGCCCACTGTGAGATGCTTGAGCGCAAGAACGTCCTTCATTGGAAGAAGCAGCGTACTGATGGTACGGCTTAAGCCGACCAACGTAAAACGTGGGATGCGTTCGCATCTTACGTGGTAACTCGATCGTGTATGCATTGCCTAGGCGGTGCAATACACGAAATGGGCCAATGTACTTGGGTAGTAGTTTACTGCTACCCAAGTTAGTCACTACATGCTTTGGTAGATTAACCGTAGACAGTAGGACTAAGTCACCTTTATTAAATAAAAGAGTGTTTGCCCTTCCATTCTTGTCAGCGTTTTGCTTTTGCTTATCCACCGCTTCGGCGATGGAGTCTTGCACAAAACGGACTACCGTTTCACGAGCCAGTATGAACTCATCTGATGACTCGTTAGCTTCAGTGTGCTGTGAGCGCACTGCAGCGACAACAACCTTTTCTTCAGTGAGGGCTTCCGCACTCTCACTGGGATCATTGTCTTCAGTGAGGGCTTCCGCACTCTCACTGGCATCATCTTCTTCGATATCGATGTTATCGATATCGGCATCAAACGCAATGACTTCTTCGTCAGAGCGTGATGAGTGTGAACCAAATCGGTTTTTGCTCGCGCGAGTCCCTCCCCCCCTTAAAACAGAGTTACACTCTAGTAAGGTGGGTACACGCGGATGGCGCAAGCCATTCACGTAAAACGGTGTATGTGTCGTGGACGCATGCACCGAGTTGTTGATGGCAAACTCTACCATCGGCAAAAACTCACTCCAACTCTTAAAGGAGTGTACGTATCCTCGAAGTATCTCTTCAAGGACACGATTGGCACGTTCCGTCTGACCATCTGACTCTGGATGATCAGATGTTGACATCTTCAAGCGCGTTCCGAGTGATTTGAACACGGAACGCCAGAAATCAGCAGTGAATCGTGGATCTCTGTCTGATACGAGTTCACGGGGCAACCCATGAAGTCGGAAGATGGTGTCAATAAAGACACAAGCACAGCCACTTGCCGTGATTGTCTCTGGTACAGCCACAAGGTGTACCATTTTGCTGAATCTGTCAACAAATACGAGAATACCCGTATTCCCGCGTGCGTCTTTGGGTAACCCGAAGACGAAATCCATTGAGATGGATTCCCAGCACTCAGCCGGAACCGGTAGAGGCTGTAAAGGTGCACGCAGTGAAAGACTTGACTTCTCTCGTTGACAGACTTCGCATGCGCGAACATACTTTCGCACAAACGGATACTGGCGGGGCCAGTAAAAGTCTCGACTTACCGTGAGATATGTTTTCTCACGGCCACGATGTCCCCCTATAGGAGCATCGTGATACTCGAACATGATCCGCAAACGCAGATCAGTATCATCTGGAATGACAACACGTGGTGTGTCACCAGAAACGGCTGTACAAAACAGTAAACCGTTACGAGTAGTGTATTGATCTGATGCAGATTGATGCGCAGACGACAATCGTTCAATGATTCTCGAGATGGCTGTGAGAGATGTGTCAACAACTTCACAATCTCACCATCTTGGGCATACGCCCGCCTCACATCATCATACAACGTTGTAGATGGGACTGAGGACGTCATAACCGCAACAGTGACTGTCTCACTGATGTGTTTCACGACTGGTTCAAAGTCAGGCCGACGTGAGAGTGCATCAGCGACGACATTAAGTCTTCCTGGTTTTTACTCTATCGTAAAGTTGTATTCTGCACCGAATGACAACCACCGCACCATTCGTTGTGAAAGGTGCGGGCTGTTCACTGCCGTGCGTAACGACGCATGGTCAGTGTAAACTATAAAGAGCCTATCTCCTAATAGATAGAATCTCAACTTCGCGAGTGCATACTTCATGGCAAGGAGTTCCTTGTCATGCACTGGATAGTTCCGCTCAGCTGGTTGCAGCTGACGCGACTGATAGCAGACGACGCGTTCAACGCCTTCAAGATCGTACTGCATTAGTGCACAGCCGATTGCATTCGCTGGCATCACAGACCACATGAAATGGCCTGTCCTGATCGGCTATTGCTAGGACTGGGGATTGTATCAAGCTCTGCTTGATACCATCAAAGGAGCGCTGACATTCATCACTCCATAACCACCTCTCGTTCTTTTTCAACAAACGAGAGAGGTGCACAGTCATCTCGGCGTTATCGCGTGAATACTTGTGCAAATACGCCGCTAGCCCAAGGAATTTTCGAAGACCTTTGACATCAACTGACATAGGCCAGTCGGTGATCGCCTTGATCTTTTCGGATCCAGTCGGTGATCGCCTTGATCTTTTCGGATCAGGACGTACACCGTTCTTACCAACGATGCACCCAAGAAGTGGTATTTCGCTTGCTGCAAACTTACACTTCTTGAGGTTTGCATACAATTGATGCTTTTGCATGATTGTAAGAACCTGTCGGACGTGGTATCTGTGAACCTCAACGTCCGACTTTTCATCCATAGCTCGACTATGGATGAATACGTCATCGAAATAACTCGGCGCGAATTCTCGTACAGGTCTCAACAGATGCTATACACATCTGTTGAACGTGGCAGGGGCATCACTAAGCCCTTGTGGCATTACTAGCCATTCCCAGAGCGTGCTGCTAGGCGTGGTCACTGCGGTATAGGATATGTCCCGTTCTCGCATTAGGATTTGATAGAAGCCATCCATCAAATCCATGAACGAAAAGATGGTACATTTTGACATACCATCAATGATTGCGTCCTTCCTTGGTATCGGCGTCTGAGCCGGTACCGTTGCAGCATTCAACTTGTTGAATGCATGCACTATCCGCCACCATCCTGTTGCTTTTCGCACACAGAAGGTCGGAGAGCTATGTGGGGAAGTTGATTCCCTCACATGGCCTGCAGATAAACGATCGACAAAGAACTTATCGATCGCAAGTACTTGTTCACGAGGCAGTGGCCACTGCTTCATGACACAGTACTTCGAGCCTAGTTTAAGCTCGTCCTCGTGTCGAATACCTTTTCCTTCGGTAGTTCGCACGGAACAGTTTCAGGGAATACATCCTTGATTTAACCAAATCTTCATAGAGAGGATTTGTCTTGAGCGATTCCCACGATTGGGAGTCATATCGCTCAATTCGTGTCTATTCATCGAGGACACTCTCGTCCATAGATCAACCACTGAGAACTCTCTCGTTCTCAGTAAACATTGTTGCTGACCTTATGTCGGCTACACACTCGTCGTCAGCGACGAGTACGCAGATCTGATTGACTTTGCCACCACGCAGATCACGCAAAAACCTTTTATGTTCGAGCGTTGGCAACTGAGCGATCTCCGAAGTCAACTTCGGAGGCGCAATCAGATCAAGTGTATAAGCGCCTACACTTGATCCGTTATTGACTATGACATTCAATGTCTCTGTCATTTCATGATGACTTATTCCCTCAGGCTTCGAAGGGCTTATTCCTTCGTCTTCCCGGGGACTTATTCCCGCGGGTTTCGGGGAACTTATTTCCGCCGTATTTGTAATATCGGGACTTATTCCCTTAACTTCCTCTAGCTGGGGTTGCGCAACCACAGCGAGATCCTCTACGAAAGACTCTCCAGTCGATCTAGGATTATCGTTTCGCTTAACCTGAGCGATCGATTGTTTCCCTTCTAGATGTTCCCCGCTAGGGACACATCTTTGTCCCAGTCCACCCGACTTATTCGAGTGGTGGACCTTCGGCGCAGCCTGTGTTTCCTCACAGCCGCCGGAACTTTGCTCCGAAGTGTAACCGTTTGGTACACTAAGGTTTTGTGCAGTCGTACTAACGACCGTACCACAAGTGAGGCCATCGCACTCACTCGTAGTACATCCACACGCTTGTGGACGCTCCAAAACGTTCATTAGATGGCCATCTGATGAACAAGCGGCAGGCATCGTTACTGTTCGCTGTTGCCAGTTAACCCGTGGTCCGTACCTTCTGATCCACGGTATTCCAACGATGACATCAAATTTGTCATCCAAATCCAATACGATTAAGTCATCGTCATATTGGGTATCTTCTAGCGTATAGTGGATCTTCACTATACGCTTCATGACGGTTACGGATGCGCCTGTCGCAAGACGTACCGTCATCCTCGTAGGAGGTTTGTCACAATTTAACAAGCTTGAAGTGACCATCTTCTAGTGATTGGCGTCGCACAAGATTGTTGGACGCCCCACCATCGACTAGAGCTCGAAGGGACAACTTATTCGTCACTTCGAGTTTCAAGGTAATGAGTGAGATCTCATTACCTAGAGCAGCAACGCACAACGTTTGTGTGTTGGGAGCAACCTTCATCAAGAGGCCCACAAATTCTCTTGACGTTGCTGGACTAGCAGGGTGCTCCGCACCTACTGATCCTGTCCGTTTTTTGACGGTCCATCCCGTTGTTGCGTCTTTGCACCAACAGCGGACCCTCGTCCCTGCCCCTTTCTCATGGGTGGACGGTCACTACGCCTAGTGTCGCGAGACACTGGACGAGGGGCACTACACTCGAAAGCGTAGTGTCCTGTCTTTTGACATCTGTTGCATTTCTGCAACTTCTTGTAGCCTGTAGAGCGAGCATTCTCGCTCTCTACATAACAGAGTTCCATCGGCTCTGGACCTCCGTTGTCATATCGTCTCGGTTGACGATATGATGTCGAGCTGGCGCGAGCCTGTCTCAGACTGAAGTCTTCCTGTTCCGCAATGGAAATGGCTTGTTCTAGTGAATCTAGTTCAAACCGGAACAGGTGAGTCTTGACGGGACCATCCGCAAGACCCTGCATGAACACCGAAACCAACGTGTGTTCATCCACCGGATTGGAACTTATATAACTCGTAAGATGTCGTATATGTTGAGCGTCAGCGTGCACATCACGCTTACCCTGTTTGAGCTTCAATAGTTCGTTTCGAGCTCTGAACTCAGCTCTAGGCGGTTCAAACGTTTGTCTGAGCCGCGACTTGAAGACTTCCAACGACCCAAACGCATATGGGTCGTGCAACTTGACTCCCAAAGCCCAAGTCTTGGCACGTCCTGCCAGATTTGACTGGGCAAATGCAACTTGCATATCCCCGTC